TTGGGCTGCCTCTTGTATCCACAACCCTTCCCACCCCGTTGTTACTCTCCAGGAAGTGCCTTGCACTCAGAGATGGCTGCATGTGAATGTAGTAAGAGCACACACACATTTGCTACATGTTTGCTAACTGCTGAAAAGTAGCAAAAAATGGTGTGTGGGTTGGTTTTTTTTTTTAAAGTGTCATGATTTCCTGGTTATGGTAATTGATAATAAAGTCCTAGCATAGAGAAATTTAACCCAGATTCTGCCATTGTGGCGAGAGCCCCTGAGAGAAAGGATTTTTATCGATTTTTACAGGAAAAGCTCCTGCATATTGTACTTTAAACCCAGATGAGGGGTGACAAAGAATTTGCTGCTACCTGGACTTTGCCAGCCACCTTCCTCTGTGGCAGAGGAATGCGGTGGCTCCAGGAACACAAGCGGGGGCTACAGGAGCAGGACAAGGCATAACTACACGGCAGCATTCAGAGGGGGAGGATTCATTCTTCTGTAGATCACCTTCATGCTGTCTATACCCTCCCGACTGGCCTTTAGCCCCCCTGTGCAATTCTCTCTTATTGTTTCCCTTTTAGCTGCTTTCTCACCTAGTTCATCTTCTAGATACATTTTTTTTTCTGGACAGCCTACACAAGTTACATCATCCCTGTAGCCTATTTTATAATCTACGTGTGTACAATAAACAAATAAGGAAGTAGTACAGCAATCCAGATTAAGTGGAAAGAAGTCTGGCAGGCTCCACCCTGCTGGCTACAGAAAACCATAATCCAGGAGATTTTGAAGCATTTTCCCAGACTATTTCTCAAACTAGTATTTTTGTCAAGAGAAACATGCAAACTATTGGTGGACGTTCCAAGAAATCCTCTATTTTTAAACTGGAAACTCACACAGATCTTCATGTTAATATCAATACCAATGTGTCCTACGCAAGTTAAAACAACTTACCAGAGTTTTGCAGTTTCACCTTCCTGATTATTCTTTCACAAATTCTACTGTAGAGACAGACACCAGACCTGCATCATTTTCCTCAGTGGCATGGACAACTATCACTAGGTGTTAGGCCTTTGCAGGTTTTATCCAAAAAAACAGTTTTCCATGAGCTTTGGCTGAGACAGATCACACGGACACTTCCTTGACTTTTCTGTTTGAATCTCAGGGCAAAAAATGAAAACAATATCGATGAAAGGAATAATCCTGAGAAGCAGATCATGGTCAGGTCCTGGAATAGAAGGCATTCAAAATACTTTGGAGGATCACGGCCCCAAACATATTTCATCCCTTTATACCCATGATCCATATACGGTTGCTGTACACAAATGAGGGAAATGTTCCCACAACCATGCATGCCAGTATGTTATGAGATGTGGTGCTGTCAGCTGCAGCTCGGTCTGCAGGACTTTTTTTTTTTTTTTTGGTGTTGGCTCTATTTTTTTTTTTTAAGGAAAAAGATGCTGTTTAATCTTTATCCAGACATTCCTCAAACCAGCGAAGAGACAGGAAGAAACCAGTGCTGAGGTGCCCTTAAAAGCCATAATATTCAAATCCAGAACACTACGTAATGTCCTTCCATTTCAGCACATTATGAGTCAAAGGAGAACAAATGGGAAGGAATAGTTTTTTATGTGTCTGTAAGACTTCTATCTGCTTCTGTTTCCCATTGTTTCTGCTCTCATATAAATTATCTAACTGGGATATCTAGATTGCTCACTAAGCTGCTGTCATTGTGAGGGGTATCCTGCATTTATGCAATTCTCAGCAACAGCTTACAAATTGGCAAGGCTATGACTTACGGAAAACTAGATAGGTTTGCAACTGAAGCCAAGAAGATTATGCAAACTTCTACGGATTTTCCATACTTTGGAAAGAATACAACACACACTGAAGAAAGTAAGTTACACAGCTTCCCACTATTAAAAGGACCTATTCCTGTGTGCATTTAAAAAAAAAAATCCATAAAGATAAAAAGCATTATCCTTATTTTCTCTACTGCTTTGACCTTTTTGCTGCAATTCCCACTTAATCTTTCACTGATGCTCCTGTTTTATTATTAAAAAACTCAGAAATTAAAAAAAAAACCAAAAAACCCCAAACACCAAAATGAACACCTGAGGAAAAAATACTCTATTTTCTCAAGTGCTGAGCCTTGTAAAAAGTATTATTTCCCCCCCTCCTTGTTTTTATATGTTTTAGTTGGCTAATCGCTTTCTTCTTTTGCTGCCACTAACAGACATTACAGCAGTCATAGACAGCCCAGTGTAACAGATATTCCCGCAATATAAACAGTATAGCAAAGTTTGCCAACTTAACCCAGATTTTGAGCAGCATCAATGACAGCAGAAATTGGTTAATATGCGTAATACCTTACAGATTCACATTTCTCAGGTGCTAGAGCTCTGAGAGGCAGTGCTCTATAGGTGCAGGCTAAAGCGTTAGCCTTGTTTCTTAAAGAAAAGGGACTTATGTGTCATTCTTACCTCTCTCTCTCATCCCATTCAGCAACTCTTGAACTGATTTGACTAGTTTTGACCACACAGAATTCTAAAAGGAAAATTACATTTCTGCAAGTTTTGTGAACGTAAGGAACCACTAAGATAGAAAGAACATGCCTACGAGCATCCTGATGGAAGGAAAGGCACACCCTACAGCATGTCTTGCATATTATTAGACATCAGAGAAATCCCATGAAGGAGCAAGAGACAACACAAATGTCTCAGTATCTGGAAAAAAATTCATTGCAAGTTTACAACCAACCATGAGACATGAATCTGCAAGAAGGCAGGTTTTGCCAGTTCTGGTGCTCTCAGAACTACTCATTTCATTAAGAGAGGACAACTCACAAAACAACCCAATTACATAGCATGGCTGCACAATAATGGTGTATTTCAAACTGCCAAATGTGTTTTTGCATTGAAGAAAAGGGTGAGTAGCTCTCTAAACTGAGACACACACCTGCAGGAATGCTGAATGATGCAGGGTTCTGTAATTTAACAAATTTTTAGAATTAACATTTTGGACAAAGTAGCTGCAAAAGGGAAAAATTCCCATCATTTGGAATGGGGTTAAATCAGAGCCCAATTTATTTATTTTTACAAGCCAATGCTTTCTAGCTTCACTGAGTTTTCTCTGATTAGGCACTGCATGCAAAGAGTCCATAATGGGTAGTGGCTTATGATAGACGGTAGAAACAGATTTACCTGCTCCAGCAAATACACCCGTATGCCTATTTATGTGTCTGTTGCTAGTCAGCAAAAAAAGCCACTTGGTGTGATTCACCATTATGTTCACTGCTCCCTTCAGCTCTCCTTGGAACTGGAAAGCTTTTATTTACCTGTTATGAAGCTTTATGGATTCATCTGCAACAGTGCACTTCAGGGAAGTCTATTTTACAAACATTTTTTTCAGATTATTTCTTATCTCTTTGCTTGCACATGCTTGCCCTATTAGTGGTGACATGATCTCATTAACAGACATTAAAACCACAGCCTCCTCCTTACCCTTACACACAGTAAGAGGTGAATTCAGATTCCCCAAACCACAAAGCAGTTTGTGGTCTCCTGGAAAGCAAGCAATTTTAAGCAGCAAACAAAGGGTCTGACCTCACTCAGACACATTGTTTAGGACCCAAGCACAGACCATGGGACCATAAAACCAATCCAGTGGAGCAGGCAGCACACTCAGCTGTGTAAGACTCATGGCCAAGTGCCAGGAACTCCTCTGTTCAGCTCCCAGCACAGCCTCCGATTCCCTGGGTGGCCTTGGACCCTACCCTACAAACTACTACCCAGCACCGCACTTCCTACTGAAGTAGCCCTACAGCACCACTCAAAGCCACGAGCACATGGAGGCTTGAACTCTTGGAGCCCAATTACCTGACATGTCATCCTTGTGCTAAGGAAGGAGAAAGAGATTAGAATAACTTACCTCTGCACAACTGTTACTTGGAGCTTTAGACTGTCAGCCTCCAGTACAAGCTTAAGGCACTGTAGGAGCCTTGTAACATGTATTTTGCTTCCCAAAAACACTTAAAGGGAAACGTGAAGCCAGGGATCTCATCCTTTCTGTTCAGGATGACTTGGCAGCAGCCAATGAAACATGCAAAAGCTTGTAATGTTACTAAGTTTTCCCCTTCATAATGCATTCAAAAAAAGCCAGATGCTCACACCAGTACATCGTCCCTCTGACTCCCATTTAACCTGAAATTATTATGTATTACTTTACCCTTTCACCACTACACCAGCTGCTGAGAAAGTCACTTGTTCTTCAGTTGCTTGCTAAGGGTCCACTAATGGAGATGCTTTGATGATCTGGAAGGTTATCTATACCTGTCTCCTACCAAGCTCCTTGTCGCTAGAAGGATGGACAGCATCAACTTTCAGCCATATACTACAGAAAAAGGAGTAGGAATTATTTTTTAAGTTCTGAAGTTGCCCATTGACAGACCTCGTAATTCAAATAAAGATACCTACACACGTAGAAATTAGCAACCAGTAGTGAAAAGTTGGGTGAAAGGATCTCTCATGAACTTGACACATCACTTTGGAAGATTTATCACTGTATCAGAGTAAATTAACACATATTAACAGGTAAAATATATAAATACATGGTAGTGTTTCCAAGAGCATGGCCTTTAGGGCTCATTTCCTACAGAAGTCTATGGGAGTTCTGCAATTATCTTACTGAAAACAGTTTTAGTCAATAATGAATAATTTTGGAAAGCTCTATTATCTGTAGGGGATAGTTGCATTCTGCACCCATCTGGGAATACAATCAAGTGATGGGGACAGGGTCCTGCAATATGGCCATCAAAGGGCCCTTCTTAGCAGCTGCAGATCCACATCAGTCCAAACCACTGCATTTTTATACATTAGCCTAACAGCACAGAAGAGACTGAAAGCCAGTGTGTTAACCATGTATCCCAATGAGAGACACTGCACACGTGCATATTGTACACAGTAATACACAGAAAGCTAATGTGATGAAAAACAAATCACAGGAGAGCAAAATTTAAAAAATGTCCTAAAATGTGCATTTTATTCCATATCATTATACAATGTTTACATACAGGTATACTTTTAAAACTGCTCAAAGAAAGTGTGAAAAAAAGTGAGGCGAATATCGGTTTATAAATTCCTCCCCCTCCCCAAAATCCACACAAATAAAATACATTTTAAAACAATCTCTTCCAAATTTGTTTTCTCCTGAATTTATTGAATCTTTCATTTCAACATGAAAAATACAATCGAATGAATACTCAAGGTGAAATGCTGACCTACACTTCTGTATTGAGTTGCAAGAACACAATTTAAAATCTCCAGAAGCCTTCACTTTTCTCTGTTGCTTACATACCTTCGTTTTATTGAATTAGAAGGCACAGAAAGTCCAAATCCTCACAGATCAATAAAATTCTGATAAAAATAAATTACTGTGCTGGACAACTCCTAACTTGTCTGATATCAAACAAAAGACTTCAGTAGAACCTTTTGTTCGAAATAGCACCATTTCCACCTGATCTCTCTTGAACATGAATCATCATTCTTGTTAAAAATTGTAGTTGGCACTTGAGGTGGGACACTTTCTGCCACCGCCAGGATTCTTCAAAAGACTAAGCATACTGAGTTGCTGAACTCTCTACAAAGTGTAGGTAACATTTTTGTTGGGAAATGGCACATTTAAACCATAATGTAATATAGCCTAACCCGCATATGGCTTGCCCGTTTTGGTGTTTCCCTGACCCCTGCCTGATAATTTAGCAGATGTTCTTGTGACTGTGGTGAAACTAAAATAAAGACACATTTATGGGGTTTCATGGCAAGCAGGTGTAAAAAATAATAAAACAAATAATGTGGTTGCTGCTAAGAAGGTTTTCACATGTTGTTTAACTCCAGTAAAGTTTGATCCAGCATCTGATGCATACTAAGGTTTTCTTCTTTGGCATGCGCCACTTTCTCTGTTGTGGGATTAGAAAATTAAAACATGAATAGCAGTTCTTTGGAGGCACTGATTCTCAGAACATGAAGGCATGCAATCATCATTTCTGTTGGAGAGTTTAGAAAGTTAAGAAATGTGCATGCTCATAAATACCCATGTCCCCAGACAACATAAGTAGAGAAAATTCCAAATTAATAAAACAAACGGCAAGTAATACAAGTTTAGAAGTGTTTACAGCTGCATTTGTCAAGAAAATGCACTGCCAACAGAGACACAATTCTTGCGTTCTGGAAGCTCTTTGCTTACAGGAATGTGGGATGGTGAATAGCTTTTTTTTTTTTTTTTTAAGGTAGGGCAACAAAGAAAATAATTAAGTTCTTTGCAGATCCATATTTAAGTTTCATGTAATTCAGAACTTGCAAAGAACAAAAAAATTACAACCAATCTCCTCTTCAGTGAAGTGACCTTTAAGAAATCTATTTCTTCTAGAAAATAAATAAAATCGAAGTTAGCAGCTTTATGTTGCATGCACGCTTTTATAGGACAGTCGTTTAACACACTTATTTGATATAATAAATGAGCACAATGTTCTAGAGCTGCATTCTACCAGAATCCAGTAATAGTAACTTCATACTAATGCAAGCATACCTTTAAACTGACCAGGTATTTTCAGATGGAGCTCCCAGTCCTAGCTCTGTTTTTTTTTTTTTTTTTTTTTTAAGTTCAAATACAAGCCCAATTCATAGTAACACAAAATTAATGCATTAGAGTCTCCAGATAACAAAACAGCTATAAGTATCCTTTATGTTGGTTTTGAAATACGGAAATATGAATCCTGGTGAACATTTTTCTCTTGTCCACGTTCTAGTAAAAGTCTCAGGGCCAATTCATGATGTCAGGTAAACTGAGTGTTTCTCTACAAGGCAGGCTGTTACTTTTCAGATACTGTTAGCTAAATGCTGTAGCTGTTTACTGAAGAGGAAAGGAGCTATAGCATAGCCAAAGAGCTTACTGCTCCTCCAGAGTAGGTGTGCATACACATAATGAAAAGCCTCATCCAGAAGAATCTTTTTCATATTTTTCCAACAGAAACTGAGAATTTAATCCATTAATTTACCACAGAATCAACAGCCTGAAAAAATCAATTTCTAGGTTTCTTGCTTATTTCTACATCTACTGATTCATTCTTAAGGAAATTTGGAAGAAGCCGTTTTTAAACAAGTTAACAATATAGTCACACTAAAGTTTAATCCTCATTCAATGCCAGCTTTAGTTCATTAGTTAGGCGACTGTTTTGCTCAAGTTGCTGGTAGAGTTGGTCTGTACAGGCAGCAAGCAGGTTAGAAGGGAAAAAAAGAGGCAGAATGAAGACAGATTAGACAGAGAAAACAGTTAGGTAAGAGTTAATAAAGAAACTGGTCACACCACAGACAGTTCAGTAACATACAGAGAAACATTTTACCTTTGTTTCTAGAACTCTAGTAATTAAATAGCTACTCCAAGGAACAGCTATTATAACCTGTGAAGAACTGGCTAAGACTCCTGTTGTGAAGAACAGCTGTGAGACAGGTAAGTGGGAATAGAAATGGAAGACGCAGCTATATTTCTAGAAGGACCAAGTCCTGCTTTAATCTTACAATGCTGCTCTCAACTCCTGCTTTAATATGTACAATGTGTGGAAGATTTGTTTTATGAGTGCCATTTTTCTTTGTAAACTATTTAAGACGTGGTGGAACCTCATCTGTCAGTGGAGGGAAAGCAACTGCATCACAACCAGGGTACGTAACAGCAGGAGAGATGCTGGTAGCCAACTACCACTAGGTCTGACTCAGCCCATACTCCTTTCCTGGGGAATCTGACAGCTGAAATGGTATTTTTGGTAGGGAAACATACTTCTGTTACTGGGATCAACACACTTCGATATCTTTAAATTGTCCAGTTGTACTTCGTAAGAAAACAAACCCAAACATTCAGTGAAAATGAAATGGAAGCATGAAAACCTGTGTTGCTCAGATACAGCAAATGGAGAAGATGGTTCAAGGTCAAAGAGAACAGCCACAGCTATGTTGTGACAGTGTATTTAGCGAGAGTTGTTCTGCAGAGTGAAAGAATGCTCCGTGATGGTTTTTGACTGTCTTGTTTTCTCAAATTGTCCATATTCTTCTCAATAGTCTCTAGATTCAAACTGCACTCCTGACCTCTTGATCCCAGATTATTCTCCTACAGGAAATGACTGTTTCTGATTCTTTTCCACAAGCTTCCTAACAGCTTCCACAGAAATCCTCTTCCCCTGCAGGCTCTGGACACAGCAATGGCAAAGCTGTGCAGTGAGCTGGTCTGTAGGACATACTTGTGTAGTGAGTGGCAACTCCTCACAGCTTCCTCCCCAGCCCAAACTCCAACAGCCAGCTCAGTAAAACCAGGGCACATTTCAGAACTGATCCTGAACCGGTAACAACTGGGTCTTGTCTCTCTCTTATCAGGATAATGTCACGTATAAGTGGAAAAAACATTGAAACCTTAGAGTAACTAAAATTTCACTTTGTTTGGCAAAGTGTATTTAGTTGTTGTTCAAACATGACAACATAATTTGAACTGAGAACTTGATGCTTACCTTCATCACAGAAAACTACTCTCTTTAATTGAGGCAGAGATTTACAGTATTTCTCAACATCCAAAATGAGACTAAAACCCCCAGGTAAAGCATGGAAAGCATTTGCCAAGTGTACAGTCAGCCCTTGATTACCCACAGGCAGTCCGTCTAGGTTGCGATTTACCACAGAGGTAGAGCCAAGGGCTGGCTCTGTAGGCAGCCACCTTAGACCAAACAGGGAGTTCAAGCTCTGGTGCGGACCCAGTGAGGCTCAGCCTCAGCACAGCAGAGAGCCCAGGCAAATGAGACATCAAAGCCAGCCCTGCACTCCTGTCAACAAGCCTCATGTACATGACTGGCTACACATGGCCAGACCTCACGGGATGTACAACATAATGCACAGGTCAGGCCCAACAGTGACAAGAGTGCTGAAATATGCTGCAGTGAGAAACCACAACAGCTCCGTGGAGTCAAGATCAGTGCAGTAAGGCCAGCTAGGAATTCTGTACGCAGCTACCTGGGTATCTGCATTGCATTGCCCATTTCCAGTACTCTGTCCAGCAATTCATCACCCTACAGTACAGAGAGCCGATTATGCGTGTTTGAAGGAAAAGGCAAGATTTAAATACTGATGTTCGAAATTACTGTGTTAAAAATTACCAGGTTCCTACATTGGATTTTGCTTTTTTTACTTCTCTTAAGAAACAACAGTATTGCAAGGAATTGAGGGGAAAAACAACACTGCTGACACAATAAACCAAAACACACAATAGATTAAGGGGCTGGAGCTGCTGTAGCATAAGTTACTCTGGCTCAGCTGACAAGTGACTGCTCACCACATCCCCCGTAACTCTTGCATTTGTGAAGTTAACCACGTTAGCTTCAGTCATTTTACAAATGCTCATCCCATTATATTTGATTAACCTTCACGCTAAACATTTTACTTTTCAGTTGCAATACACACAGTGTATAAATCCACTTACTGTATCTCAACTGATGAGTAAGTAAGTTATTGAACTTTACTATCTGGACTACCTGTGACTGCTGACACATATCCTGTACTTGGGCTTCTCCCCATAGCCAGTAACGTTAGGACATGTGTAATGGGATAAGGTGAAGTTATCTGAGGACGGCAGGGGGGAACACGATGCATCCATTTGCAAGCCTTATTTGTAAAACAGGTTTTGGGGAGGGGAAGAAATCTAGCCTAGACTGCACTGCTGAATAATCTTGAAGTTGAACAAGAAAGCCACATTTACGTTATTCTACAAGCTAAAAACTAAAAAACTCAGCTATACTATGATGAGTTTATTTAGTTGTGGTGACTTAGGAACTTTAGCAATATACACAGTGACAGGCATAATCAGAAATCAATCCAGTTTAAACTGATTCACTTTAATATGAACTGGAAAATAACTCCTTTCATTGTGAAGAAAATGAAGTTAAAATAATGCAATAAACTCTCTAGTTGCAAATAACAGCACAAAAAAGCAAGGTGTCAGTATTTAATGCTTCATCCTTAATTAGGCACTGCCAAATCAGCTGAAAGCCAATGGTTAGGCTTTCAAACCTGAAATCTGTATGTTCCACTTTGCAGCAGAATAATTTCATTATTAGTGTAATGAGAGTTTTCCTACTCCAGTTCTGAAACATTTCTCATGAGTCTGCAATTCAAACTCACAAGTTTGAACTAAGCACAAGAGCGGAAAGCTACTGATATCTCCCTGCTGAACTTCCAATCCTATCATGCCATGAGAAGTATATTGAAGAAAAAAAAAGTTAGCAAGCAACATCTTTGCTAACTAGGACTATTTTTGGGTGAAAAAAAGAATTTAAAGTTTTTTATATTGCCCCTTTAAATCTGTCTCAAATATTTAAGTTAACAAACACACACATTTATATCAAGACAGGAAGTCTTCAGCATCAAGCTAGAAGAAAATTTCAGACTTTAAAGTGAAAAATCTGGTGTCAGGCACTTAACCGCTCTCTCAGCCATGCTCCCACGACCAAGTGACCCCAAGGAAGTAGTGTCCTTGCAGATTTTGGCCTAACAATAACAACTGAAAAAACTCCTATTACATCTATTTGTCATTTTATCTGCATCAAATTTGGAGAAAGACTAAGATCGTAACCAGTCAGTTTTGACCTCAAAATACCAAGAGTAGTATTCTCATCCCATAGACTACTATCACTGGCTTTGCATTGTCAACATTCAGGCAAAAGTGTTTGCAGAAAAAAAATGGAAACACCAAAAAAATTTAAATCCCTAATGGCAAAAAAATCAATTTTTATTAATTATTGAAATAATTATTCAAATAAATAAAAGGCAAGGGAATAGCAAAAGGGATACAGCTGGGATGTTTATTTTACATTGAGAGATGTAGAGTTTCTGTACAGCAGAGCACAAACAGAGCATGTTCTGAGACAGGTGCCAGAGGAAGAGAGTCAACTAAGCTAGAAGACAGGACAATGAACCCATGAAACATCCAAAGCTTGGAAAGATGTTTTATCCAACCTGATGAAGATGTCTTTGGAGAAGTGAAGCAAAGAAAATTATCTGCATGAAAAGAAAAAGTGAGATAAGGTAGGAAATAAAAAAGGTGCAGTAAAGACTTCCAAAAAAGCAGCAACAGCACAACAGAGCCCAGCATGCCAAGATGACTACTAGAGAAACACCACACCATGCTGGGACTGGAATGCTACAGTAATGTCCTCATGTACCAGTAGAGTACATTTTAAAGCCTGTTTTCCATTTAGAAATATCCCAAATTGAAGAAATACTGTAATCTCTGTACACAGAGGAGGAAAAAGGAAATCCATTTGCTTGATAAACCACTGAGCAAAAGCATATGTTGGGGGTGGGGTAGGTGGGTGGTGTGTTTTTAAAAAAAATTAAAAAATAAAAATCAAAGCATACAAAGCAGACATTAGACCCCTACTAAAAAGTTAGGGGAGGGAGGGAAGTAATGAACAGATATAGGGATGGAAAAAAGCAAAGAAAAAACGTTTAAAATATGGGTGCATGCAAAATACTTTTCAAACCCTGAGCAAAGCTTATGCCTTGCTGAAAGCATGCTAGCCTCCAGAAAGAAATGCCTGCACTAAACGTCACACCTCACAAGCACTTGAGAGCCACAACTCTTCCTCTTTCCCATGTCAACTGTACAGGGTTCATGCAAGTGAAAGGTATGAGCATGGGAAGGTGGATTTAGCACAGCTGACCTCTGTTCAGAGTTTTAGGTTGATGGAAGAAGGCTCAGTTTGTACCAAGCACTGCATGGACTAGTCACACCTTACAACTGATTACTCTCCTGCCTTCCTGCTGCCTAATACACTCTTTATTTTTCTCCTTATGACTACAGTTGATATTACCACATTTTTGGTATCTGCAAATTAAATTACTACTACCCTCCACAAAATATGCAGAAGCAATCTACAATTCAATTGTCACTTTTATGGGTTTAAATAACAAAGTATCTTAAATCAATTTCCACACTTGTAATTTAGTGATAACAGCTGAAATTTTCAGAGCAGTCACGGAAATTTAGATAAATACTTTCCACTGTCATTAATAGAGAATACAGCTAAATCTAATTTCTTTGAAACTTTTGTAGGAACTTTTACAGAGAAAAACTTTGACAGCAGAAGAACACACTCTGAACGCAACACATACTGAGGCAACTTTCTTTAGTAAACTGAATATGATGGGCCTGGTAGAAAATACTTGAACAGAGGCAAACTGAAAGGATAAATGCAGAGCTACAAACGAAGGGCAACCACAAGACACAAGGATTGCAGATACAGAATTAAAGAGTAAACACGAGCGTCAGCTTACAAAATCACCATGAGTATTTACCAGGCTAGGCCCAACACTCACCCACACTGCCACGGTAAAGAAATTGTTCATGGTATTTTGTACACCTAGTCTCGCTAAAGGAACGCGTCTCCCGCTACAGAGGGAGTATAATTTCACAAGGCCGGAACCGCGCAATCAATGAGGGCAGGGAAGCAGGTGCAGGCACAAGCTGGGAAGACATTTACATGGAAGTCATATCGTTGAGAGCGTGGTCCAGCTCCTCGCTGATGGCTTTGTACTTCAGTTTCTGAGCATATAGCTCATCTAACATTCCCCCAAGGGAAGGCAGAGGTGTGCAAGGAAATGGAGCGTGATCATGGGATGGAAGGTGAAGGTGGTGGCATGGAATACCATCCAGAAGCCGTAGGAAAGGGGAAGAGCGCACAGAAAGAGGTGTTGCGACAGACAAAACAAAACAAAAATTACAAAATTAGAGAAGAATTAAAAAAAAAAAAAATCAACAGTGAATAGTCTTATGTGACAAGTTCATTCACTGCACTGCCAGTGAGGCAACCTGTGATATAGAGAAAATGAAGGAAAGAAAGCGTACAAGGGAAGCAAAATCCATGTTTCGCTGCCCTGGATTTTTGTTTTAACGCACATTAGGAGGGCGCACAGGAACTAGGGAGAGAAGATCCAAAAATGGGGCTCAAGGAGGATGTTACCATTTATTTTCTTTTCTTTCTTTTTTTTTTTTTTTAAAAAAAAACCACTCTGGTTTGTGTGATGTCATAAACTCAGTTTCTTACAGCAATTTTTGTTCCTTCTAAACCCTTATCTTTCTTCTCTGCTTCCTTCCTGAGTCAGTAATCATAAATTTTCAGCAGCTACCTAGATATTTCATGCCCTTTCTGCAGAAGTCACCCTGCCATGTCAAGCAATCAAGCTTCTTAAAATCCTAGACTTAGTGTAATACATCTAAATAGTAAACTCCATATAACTTAATTACAAAGCACTACTAAATTATTTTCTCCAGAAAGCAAGAGAGGCAGAAAGCACATTCTACTATACTACTGCAGTTCTGAAAGATTTATCAAAACCTTAAAACAAACTCTCTGAAGTTAAATAAGCTGTCTTTCTGATTATGTATACAATCCATTAGCTTTACCGAAAAACTGCAACTGGTCTATGTCACAAAATGCCCGCCCTGACCCATACTTATTGCAGTAATAAATGAGGTTTGCTTGCTACATTTCTAATTATTACAAACATAACACAGCTCTTCATCAGCTTTTTAGTAAGATAATACTACTAATCATCATCTAGTCATTTACCCTATACATTTATATACCTCCCAGTAGAAGAGTGTAAAGCAAAAAAATGAAAGGAGTCTTGAGAACATGAGAGAAAAAAGGAACAGGCAAGAGCAAAACACTGTTCACCTGAAGCATTCAAGTTATCAATACATTTCAATCAGAAAATATTTTGCATATTTTACTCTTTAGGCAGACCCATTTATATAAGCAGGACAAGTTACGTGAGTAGAACTGCGTACTGAAAAAAAACCCCAAACAGGAGAATAAGAGATCTGTATTTCTATAGCAAGTGAGACAAACAAAACCCCATACCTTCTAGGTCATCAATGCTCTTCTCCAGCTTGGTTACTGACCTCTCAGCAAATTCAGCACGGGTCTCAGCCTGAAGTTGAGACAAACACAGGCTATTTTAGGAAAAACACACGTAGTACTTACAAATAGAGCAGCAACAACTCAAATGAGGAAAAAAGTACAATGAGAGGAGGCAAATAATAAGGGGATACTGATTTTTAGGGAGACATTTACACTAAACTGTCTCCAAAATGACACGTTCATCCTTAAAGCACCAAAGTAGTGTTTATATTAAAAGAATCAAAGTTGCATTGGAAGATCTGTTGTAAAGAACAGCTCTAATTTTACCTCCTTCAGTTTGTCAGTCAGTACTTTAATCTCTTCTTCATATTTGTCTTCTTTCTGCGAGTACTGTAATTAGAAAGAGGATCACTGTTATTTTAGCCGGTGTTTTCTATATATACAAAAATATCACATACGAGACTCTCTTCTAATAGATCAACCGAAATTAATATGGGTATAACTAAATTAATTCCATTTACTAGACTGTGGTAATACACAGTTTATTACAAGAGCCAAACTTCCCTTGGGTTATATTCCAGTGCTATACAGTGGGAATTAGTACTACGGTTTTAAAGAGGAGTGGCATTTGGAGAATTTAATGTTAGCACACAAGTGCCATTTTGAGGGACATTCTATAAATAATATTTAATCCTGTCAGACTACTTAACAGAACATGTAGTCAAATAATACTGACCTATTTGGAACTAGAAGGAATGCTAGGTTCTGATAAGAACCAAATATGAATTGAGTAGTAAGTCCAAATGCTTCTACTGACAATGGCCTTGCTGAAATGCTGCCAAGTGATCCGCATATAAAGAAAACCCCACAAGCCAATGCAGATGACAACATAAGGGACACATTCTCACATAAGTCTCTAGCCTACCTTCTCAGCCTGAGCCTCCAGCGACTTCAGGTTGTTGGTCACAGTTTTCAACTCCTCTTCAAGCTCAGCACATTTGCTGTTATTTCGGAAGGAAGGCAGGAAAGGGGCGGATGGAAGATTCAGTCAAGCAAAAGAAACAGGAGAAAATAGGAGGAAAAGATAGAGAAAAATGAAAACAATTACAGAGCAAAAGAACGGCCTCAAAAGCAGCTGAATCCATCACAGATTGAAAGCAAGTCTTTACAATGCCAAATTCCATTTCAAGTGTACATTATGATGACGACCAGACAGAAATTATCTACAGCCCTTGGCTTACACAGAAATATTTACATAGCCTTTACACATGAGACAGTTCAGCTTCTTTTTGGCTGCACAGCAGATCAGTTTTAAAGGTAAAAATGAATAAACAAACAAAAAAAAGAGACCAAAGAAAACGACCAAAGCAAGATGCAAAGAGAGTAAAGAGTGTAGTGAGGACTTATTTGTTACTACTGAGTGAGCTAATCGGCTATGGAAGCTGAAAGACTTGGGTTGCAGTTAAACCTAAAAACTGTTTATTAGTATCAGTACCTTATCCTCTGCAGCCATTAATGCTTTCAAGGTTTGATCCATTATTCTTAACTGTTCTTCCAGCTGTCGGACTTGGCTGTTAGTGAACACATGAAATGCACAAAAGCCATTCACAAAATCAGTGTGCAGGTACAGCATGCAGTGACAAAACACACGCGCACACACATATGAACACATTTACTTTGGCGTTGACCATTTATTTCAACCATTAGAGTAAATGAGCAAAACATAGCTTTGAGCTGAACACACAGTGTACTGCCAATGTTTCATGCTGTTACAGTTGTCTTGTAGCACCTCACACACATCTCACGGCAGCTCAACACTTACCTTTCTGATAGTTCAGCACGTTCCTCAGCCCGCTCCAGGTCACTCTCAATGATCACAAGCTTACGAGCCACCTACAAGAGAAGGCAAATGGCAGTCAGGGGTATTATGTTGCTGCAGCACACATCACCTGTTTCTAGAACCTACAAAGCAGGAAGTTGGGCCTCTTTCCATTTTTTTGGTCAACACATTGAGTTTTGATTATGTGACATCTTCATTATTCATTTGAATCTTTGTTATCCGACATTTTTCAAGACCTCTCTTTCATTCACCAAAAGGCAGCTTGAAAATATTTTTCTCCCTAAGAGACCAGGGAATACTCTCAACCATTTTAATGAAAAGATCTGAGCACAGATCTCCTGCCACCTTGTCCCCTGAGGTATCCGGGTGCCCATTTTTTCTTCTACATCTGCGAAGAGTGGTGTTTGTGATCTTTTGAACTTAAAAGGCAAAGGGAAAAAAAAGACAGAATTATAGACACAGACTAAAGGGCTTTAAAAACAGATGACCTGCACTCAAGAACTGACCTCTTCATACTTGCGGTCAGCCTCTTCAGCAATGTGCTTAGCTTCTTTAAGCTGGATCTCTTGGATTTCCATCTTCTCTTCATCCTTCTGGGCTCTATTTTCAATGACCTTCATTCCTCTGAAAGACGTGAAAAACAGGAAATGCAAGGTTCAGGGCCTGCCAGTTTATGTCCAGCTCTACTACTACTGGAGTGCAACTTTCAGACAGATGTATTAAGGTGAACAAAGCACGTCAGATACTTGATTCTTCACACCATAGATCTAGTCCTGTGCATTCACACTTCAGCAGTTCAAAGGGAAGAAGCATGTCTTAGGAAGAAAGAAAACGTAATTTGTTTAGCTCTTACCACAGTTCAGCTGTACTATTCTTTTTCATTTTAAATTGAAGGAAAACTGATCTTCTAGAAAGGTAAATAAAGGGTCTTGCTTCTAAAAAACTAGTAAGATGACTAAAGACATCTCTGCTTTTACACTCATCGTTAAACAGCATGTTACAACCCCTGCAGGACTGACAGGCATTATGTTTATGAGCCAAACAGATTCCCATGAGTTTTGCCATGTCAGAACCCTAGAGCACAGCAGCTCTCTGTCCTCTGCATGAACAAAATTAAACTCCTTCATAACAGGAAACATTGCGTATTGCGCCTTCCATGCATGTTTGATCCAAATTCTCTTAACTATTTCACCTGTGAGTCTCAGGTGCTTTGCTTTTCAACAGGCTGCATCATTAGTGAGGTAGAAATACATATGCAGAATACATAGGATTCTTTCCCAATAAAAGGTACTATCACAGATATCAAATACAGTTTGTAGAAGTAAAAGAGGAGATCTTCCAAAGCCACAAATCTTGAGTTCCTAACTTATACTAAGTACTTCTGGAAATCCCAGCCTAAATCTGAAGGAATTATCATGTTCTCCCTCCTTTGCTCACCTTCATGTACCAATCACGCCAAAAGGAGAACCAAAGCCTCTTCCAGCACTTTGCTATTCTCCAGATGAGATTTTGCACCCACAATGAAATCAAGAATCACCCGATAGCACAAGAATACACAACACCCTCAGAAAGTTGTCATCCAAATAGAGAAGTCTGGGCTGGGCCAAGCAGTTTTCCCAGGAAGTGGCATGATACATCAAAAGTCCTACCCCACTTAAATCTTATCTTTACAACTGAGACATGAACAACAATTCAAGCCTACACTTTTTGGACATCCCTACAGACAAGCTGTAGTCCATGTAGGCAAAGGAAGAGTGGATTACACATGGTCAGAGACACAGGAGTGGTTTCATTTATTTCCCTAACCCACACCCTGGCAATTATCATCTTTGTCATAAGGGTAACGATCCATTCAAGAGTGGCCCCACCCACCTTTCACTCTCATCTGCAGCCTTCTCGGCCTCCTCCAGCTTCTGCAGAGCAGTAGCCAAGCGCTCCTGAGCCCGATCCAACTCTTCCTCAACCAGCTGGATGCGTCTGTTCAGAGAAGCTACTTCACTCTCAGCCTAAGCACAGGAAGAACAGAAATTAATTCATAATAAGGCACACACCACCTCTTGTAAAAGATTATCCCACGAACCTGCTAGTGCCATTTAACAGCACTTCAGTAATGTCTGACTTCATCCGCTAAAAAGCCTGTACACAGAGATGTACGTGCCCTCATTGAATTGTGAAGTTATTGCTTAATGGAGGAAAAAGTGATTAATGCTTCCTTTAAATGAAGTACATTAAGGACTGTACAATTTGTACTAGAAAGAACTGCACTGGAAGAATTATGCATCGTTCCCTAAATATTTTCTGTTATTGTATTTGCAGACATTAACCAATTATAGTCTTCCCCCTCCCCCCCTTTTTTTAGCAAATCAACACAAACCAATTACCCAATTCTTCTATGTTATCCCAAATCCTTTATTTCTGACCTTTTGCCATATTTTGATGAGAATTGTCCCAGTATTTCCCTGAGTTCCATAAGAAGGGTTCAGCGTAAAGATGCAAAAATACACCTACATCAGCATATGCAATGAGACAGCTGACACAAAGGGAGCATGAGAACATTTAAGAAATGCCCGAATACCCACAAGTGTTGTTTGCAGGCAAGCTATGCAAGAGCTGACAAAGAAGGCACCAGCAGAGGCTACATCTTGGAAGGGCCCTGGTACAGGCAAAAATTACTTGACATCTTTTTTCTTTTTTTTTCTTCATACTGCCATCCTCAAACTTCCCCCAGATTTGCCTCTCTTGCATTACCTGTTTACTTAACCTTCCGTGCACCACTTGCAACTCATCTCCCTCTTATCATTACAAGCTTTTACTTCTGACATTCTCAAACCTACACTTGCTTAAGTTGCAGGGTAAGTTCTGTAACAGCCTTCTCGTAGTAACCTCATTATTAAACTTTTATTTCTTTCAAAAGGATATTAAGCACAAAATAGATATAAAAAGGTCATTATTCTAAAAAGTTAATGACTTCCAAGAATAACAGTTACTCTTAATTAGTACTGAAAACGATCTTGCTATATATGAGGAAGTACACATCTGATTTTCCTAAGATGTCTAGTTAGGGGAGGGAAACAAGCCCTCTATCAAAAGCAGATACCAAAAGTATCAGTTTGATACTTTTTCTTTAGTTAAAAATTTAAGGAACTTATTTGTTGCTTTTACTGACCAGAGGCAGCTGGATACAGTTGGCCACAGCTAAAATTTTGTCTTACATAACACAAATAGGAATAACTTACACACCAGACAAGTAAAACAACCTTTGACATAACAGTAACATTGCCCCACTAGAATGATTTGAAGTAACACATAAACAGGGAAGCAAATATATATTTGAACATTAGTGAGTATTGGCAGCAAACGTAGGACCAGGAGTAGAAAAGACCACATCCTTAGAGATCCACATTAACCGCAATATAAAATCTTTAGCTATGTAATCAAGCAGTAGTACTCCAAACCTGTGTTTTCAGACTTCTGGCTTTAAACAGTAAGAATGTGAACATTCTGATTTGAGAAAGAAAACAACCTTTCATAAATGTTGCGCTTGGGAAATTTGTAATGTAACAAGTTAATTATTATCATGTCAAGACTCCTCATCATGATAAGAGCATACAATATACTTAGAAAACACAGGGTGACTAAAGTTCAAGTTTTTACTTCCTGCTCCAGTAACTCAATAAGGGTTTACCAACCAGCCTTATATGGCCCAAGTTATTCTTCTGTGGAGCAGGACTTCTTTCCTTATATGGTAAGGAAGGAAAAAACCCCAGTGACATTAAGGGGCACTCCCACAGCTAACAGACAAACATAACCTTCTGTGTTTTTGCCACAGCACTTATACACCACATATTTTTACAATGAGCAATGACATGGCTAAGTTACCACTGGGTGTTAATTATTACTGTTGTAAGAAAGATTCTGTTTTTCAGAAGAAGGAAGAAAAACGCATTCTGAAAATGTGATTACCAACAGCCCCTTGAGATGCATGCACTCAAAACAGAAGAGATTCTTTTTTTAAGGCGATGGCTGTTAGTCAGTCTCGAAACTTTTAACAATCTGGTTTAACAATCAAAAGCTGTAAGCTGTGCTATGTTTTGGCCACAGCTTTAGCTTTTTCATTGTTTGCATATCTGTACCTTGCACAGGAAGAAAAAAAAAACCCACAAAACAACCCTAGCTAGTCACATGCTGTACATGTAAGGTATTACACTAAGGGAAGGGTCAGATTCACACCTCAGCTTGCTTGCTGCAATGTTCTCAAAGCCTCCTTCCTCAAGCATGCAGAAATACAGCTGTGACAATAAAAAAATCCGTACCTAGCTAGCATTATAGAAGAGGCACAGGTCTACATGTGCCAGTGAGTTCAGTTTTCTGCCTTTATTCACCCCAGCACTGACCCCTCCAAACAAAAACTTAAATACCACGTAAATGTACTCCACAGAATTCCACATCATCCGCATAAACCAACTCCGGGGAAGAGACAAACATTAACCTTTAGGATCTTAAGCCTTATAGCAATGTGGTTGAGCTCTAATGGGAAGACTTCACCAGCAAGCTGTAATCACTCTTCCAGCGCTACTCCTTCTGCCACAAAAGGTAATAGCAAAGCTTCCCATTCTAATAAGAATCCCTTAATATGTTGTTTAGAACAATACATGTTACTGAAAGTAGGAAAATTGGTGTCCTTTACTCCACAAAGCTTAGAAGACAAGTACAGTTTTTTGTAAAGACAGAAACCCTTATGAAACAAGTTAATGGCTGTGACATGATCTCTCACTGAAAAAATGGATATGATTTGCAAGAATGCAGTAGTTACACAAGCCTAAGGAGCCATATTTTGCCCCTTGGGAAGATCACCTGCAAGTAATCAGAAGGCTCTTCCTTTGAACTTGCTGCCCAGAATGTGCAGAAAGCCCCACATTATAAGGAAATCAAATAATCACCATTTTTTCAATTGTAATAAACTACGTGAATAAGAAATTTGTTCTTTTGTGTCACTTTTACGCAACGACTGAAGACACTAAAATCGCCGCAAAGGACACTGTCCATTTTATAGCAGGAAACATCAAATTACAGCTGCTAGAATTCCCCAAGGTCAGTGGCAAGGCAAACAGCGGCCCTATCAGTTTTTTGCTGTAACTGCCACCCATAACTACATCTCTGTTACGTGAGTCTGTGCTGCTCACACCTGATCTTGTCTCTGCCTAAAACTGTGCCTACTGTTCTTTTCCCATCTTAGCTAGGGTTTTTGACAGCTAAACATGCTACAGATATATAGTGACAAGGGCCATATGATCACATTGTTTTGGTGTTTTCAGATACTGTGGGTAAGTACTCGGATGTGGCCTCTCAGGTTCAGTCCCAACTACATAACCTCAACAGTCAGCATGCTGACTTCCCACAGTTGAACTCATTTGGATGGGATAAGCAGACAACCAGCACTTCCAAAAAAAAAAAACCAAACAAAACTTCATAAAAGCTTGCTCAGAACCTAATACAAAGCACCCATCTCAAACATCTCGCTAAGTTCAATCTCATTCCAGCTCAGCGTTTTGCTGTTGGCCAGCAGACCTAGTACCGTCTACTTATGCACCGCAGCTTCGTTTGCCCCACGCATCACTTAGGCCACTGAGCCGGAGAGCACAGCAGTCCAGGCCGAAGACCGCAGTGACCCACTCCTCACCTGCGGCCCCGGGCCTGCCCGCCGGGAACAGCGGCCTCCGCCCGCAGCGCGGGGAGAGAGGTGCCGCAGCGGCCGGCAGGTAACCATTTTGTCGGAGACGGCGGCGAAGGAAGCAGACGCCCGACCCACCGGCCGGGGAGCGGCGAGAGTCAGCCGCGCCCCG